GTATTGGCCAATGTGGTTTCTATTAACTGATGTGGGATGTCTTTCTATATATGTGTTGCTTTTACTGGTTGATGAATAAAACTGCCTTGGCCAATGGCTTAGCAGAGTAAAGCCAGGCAGGGAATCTGAGTAGCGATATATAGAGAGAGAAGGTGTCATGTAGCTGCCGAAGGAGAAAGATGCAAGGACATTACCAGTAAGCCTCAGGCTTGTGGCGATACATAGATTACTAGAAATGGGTTGACATAAGATGTAAGAACTAGCTAGGAATATTCCAAAGCCATTGCCCAGTGTTGTAATTAATATAGTTTCTGTGTGATTATTTGAGTCTGGGTGACCAGGAAACAAAAGCACAGACACCATTTACATAATGGTGCCCAAATGTTTGGCAAGAATTTCCGTAATAAAGCCAGAGAAAGCTTTCGTTGATGTTTCATTTTTATTCTTTTCTTACTTCTGGGGACACTTGTTCTCCTTCCTTATCAGTTTCGTTGTCTCTTTTTCTGCATCTTCAATATCTTCTCATCTGCCTTTTCTATCCAAACATGTTGCATTGTAACTCTTGTCTGAGTGGCTTTGGACACCATATGCAAAGACTTCCCCAGGTTTGCTTTGGTAGCTAGAGAACAGAAATGGTTTTCAGTCTATCGAAAGCCGAGCAATCCAGGAACAAGGACCAGTAGCTTCACTGTCTGAAGAGGGTTTGGCCTCTGCTATCAAGTTCATACTTTACTACTACATGTCAGAAGGAGACAGGCAAGCAAGAACTTCCTCTGTCGAGCTCTATAAGGGAACCTGATGGCAGTCAGGAGGACAGAGCCCTCATGACCTAATCACCTCCTCAAAGCTCTACTTCTTAATACTTTCACATTGACAGTAGCTGCGTGTTCGGGGGAGGAGCACACAAACCTTGCTGTATGTTTGTTTCCCCTGTTGGCAGAAGCTCCATGAAACAAGGTCTTTTTCTGTTAGTCTACGTCTTCTCCCTATACATGCTCAAAGCTGTGCTTGCCAGAGGCCAGGGATACCTTTTTGGATCATTCCACTAGATTCTGCTCAGTTACCAGTTCCATGTGTTTTAAAAGCCATTCACAAATTCTTCTGGGTGTAAAACTCACTGGGGAGCTTGCCTAAAATATACCTGTCCTGACCCCAGCCCCTAGGGATACAAATGCAGTAGATTCTGGGTGGAATCTGTAACATTTCTTAACAAGCTCCCAAGGTGATTTCACAGGCAAGCACACTTTGCAAAGTTTTGTCTTGCTGGCTCATTGTACCAGGTGAAGTTCATTTCTCCCCTGCTTGAGAGTTGTTTCACAGCCGAGTGTGAATCACCTGGGAACCTAAATATAGATCTCCTAGCCCCACCTCAGACCTTGTGAATCAGAATTTCCACAATGAGTCCTAGGAATCCACAAAAAAAAAAAAAAGAAAAAGAAAAAGAAGAAAAAAAAACACCTTCCTTGGTGCCTCTGCTGCAGCCATTCTTCTGCTAGCCCTTGAGAGTCCCTTCTAGTCTTACAGACTCTATGAGGAGGTTCTAACTCAGGAGCAAGTGGGTGTTTTCTTTGTCATTTTAAGCCCATTTCTTGATCTGTCCCACAGTGTTCGAAAGTGCTGGTCACTAAGTCAAGTCACTATGGGATGAACTCCGAGGGTAGTCACAGTTACTCACACTTGCCTGCTGCCTTTGCAGCTTGGATATCGGCCCTTGCTACACAGACATCTCAAAACTGCTCTCTGATTGAAGCCAATGAGTGTGGCATGGCTGCCATATGGTGAGGATGCCTTCGGTCATCCTTTTTGTCCAGGAATTCAATGTTCCCCAGAACAGACAACATGATAATACTGTCCTTCCTCGTTGTATTTTTACACTTCTCCAACTCAGCCTTCCCCTTAGATCTGCATAGAGGGACATGCTTGGGTTGGCTTCAAGCTTGAAGTCTCCAGAGAGATAGTGAAAGGCCTGAACCCTTTGCCCTGGGGCCTACCTGGACTGCACAAGTTACTGAGGGCAGGGTGTCCCCTTAGGTTAGACTTCTAGGGGGGTAGCCTTAGTCTTGTCTCACTTCTGTTTGGGTGCTTTCTCAGGTAGAACACTTTAAACCAGAACTGGTAAAATATTACCAGAAATGGAAACAAAATGCAGTAGTGGGGATTGCTCAAGTGGTTAAGAATAGACTATACCGGGGCTGGTGAGATGGGTCAGTGGTAAAGAGCATTGCCTGCCCTTCCAAAGGTCCTGAGTTCAATTCCCAGCAACCACATGATGGCTCACAACCATCTGTAATGAGGTCTGGTGCCCTCCTCTGGCGTTCAGGCATACACACAGACAGAACATTGTATACATAATAAATAAATAGAATAGGATAGGATAGGATAGAATATAATAGAATAGACCAAATAATTATATTCAAAGCACTTTATCCTTGTCCTAGGTGGACAGCAAGCATTCAGCCTGTGTTGAGTAAGTCCTCTCCTGCTTAGTCTGCTTCCTGAGTTCCTGACCTCCAGAGCATGCTTACTCTGGACATAAGAGTTAAACGCTAGCCTCTTTGAATATGGTAGATTTGTTTGTGTTCTTGCAGACAGTCAGCTCATAGCTCACACAAAACCTAAAAGCTAGTGATACCATCCCTGATTGCCTCAGAGGCCATGCAGCCCTGCTAGTGTGCTCCATAGATTTGCGTTTTGGAGTTTTGTCTCTGGATAAGCGGCAGAGTTCATTTTTATGCCAGATAAGAACATCAGTAATTACGAGAAATCCCTGCAGGGATTTCCTATTCCCAGGTGATAGCTGCTTCTCCAGGCTTTAGGGTGAGGGGGCTAGCTCTGGAGACTACGAGCTGTGATTTAGTGACAAACACTGGACCTGACTCTAGAAATATATGGCGAGCCATCCAATGAGTCCTGACAGTTAAAGGACTGAAGGAGACAATTTTTTCCCTGCCCACCCAGTCCTCATACAAATGTAAATATATCTCTTTCAACAAGTTGCTGAATGTGGTTTTAATTTATAAGCTAGAGATCAGTCTTACTGAGTGTCCACTCAGGAGTATGTGTGCATGTGTGTGCGTTCTCTCTCTCTCTCTCTCTCTCTCTCTCTCTCTCTCTCTCTCTCTCACACACACACACACACACACACACACACACACACACAGAGACACACACACACTCTTTCTCTCTCTCTCTCTGCCTCCTCTTCTTTCTCCCCCCATATTACCCCCTTCCCTCCCCCTCTGTTCTCCTTTTCTCCCCTTCTTTTTTTTTTGAAGTCACAGGTTTTATACTTTGTGAACTGGACATTTCCCCTGTCACTTTTCTTCCAGAGACATCCCTGACCCCGTTGTCAGAGGGCTTTAAGACAAGAGTAGTATTTCTTAAAGTAGTATTTCTGCTGTATTTCTTAAAGACATTTTTGAAGTTCCCAGAGGAACTACATGTGGTTTTAAAACATAACTAAGACAGTGGCTGAATTCATACTGTGATTGAGACTTGCAGAGCCTGTCACTATATCATACTTTATACAGTATCATGCTTTATACAGTGTATGCAGAACCCATTGTTGTTATTTATGACCCTGTCTGCCTTCCATTGTGGACTTCTTCCAGCCTTGGGGAATTTACATCATTCCTAATAGCAAAAGGCTTTCTGGTTCCCACAGAGTTGTTCAAAGCCTGACTCATGCTCCTTATGTTAATTGTTCAGCTCTGAAAATACAGCACTTACAGGGTGTGGCTGCGAGGGGAAAATCAACTGTATTTACAGGGCATGCAGGACATGTTTAGAAGTGTTTCACACATAAATCTCCATCGCTCCCAATCCCTCTCAGCCTACCCTGTTTTGCCTTCCCCCTCTGACTTAACTTGAAGTATTCTTTTCCCAAAAATTAATTTTAGGAAACAACCAACTAAAAGAATGACGACACATTACCGTGCAGTACAATCCAGTATAGCCAGTTACACTCTGTTGACTGACAATTAAAGCCAATTTAGGTTACAAGTGGACATGCCTTTGAAAGATGCCGGCCCAGGTCTAGCATAGGCATGGCCCAGAGCTCAAGGATCCTCCTAACCTAGTCTTGTGCACACTGATTAGATCGAGCTCTTAGAGATACCCCGGAATGATACTCATGGCTGCCATCCTTCAAAATCTGGGGACTACCACCATTCCTTCTTATGTTAGCCTACATAAAACAAAGATCTTCTGATAGGTTCCATACTGTTCCTCATAGTCACTACATTTTATAGGAATTTGATGGGGGAAGAATTACTTGGACTCCCAGAAAAGAAGAGCAGATAATACCTTATCTGGGCTATCAGCTTCTAACCTATGGGAAGAAATTCCAAAACATTATATGGGTCATCTCTGGCAAAGGTTCCCCTAACTTTACATTTTGTAATTATCTCTTTGTGAAGCTTCATGGATATGTTTTATAAAGGTAGATAATCCATGTATAAGATTACGGCAATGACTACTATAAGAAGCCAGAGACTCCCAGGTTTTTGGTGGTTGTTTGTTTTTAGTAACCAAGATTGAAAAACTCCGTTTTTAAAATGCCAACACTAAAAGGTTTAACTTGATATTGTTTTATGACTCACAATATTGGTAAGTAAGGGGCATGTGGAGGAAATCTCAGGATCATCAGGACACTGGCTACTGTCTTCTCGCAAGCATGCTGCTGCTGGCTCAGGAATTCTGCCCTCTGGGGCCACAGAGAGACCACATATTGTTCTAGATGGCTTGGGAGCTGCATGTTTCACATTACGGTTTTGTATGTTTGTGGTACATACTCATGCATGAATTGTATAGAGAAGAATACAAAACCAGTGTGAAACCAGAAAGTCCCAACTGAAAGCAATTGAAAGAACCTAAAACAACAGTCTGTTTTATTTAGTATTTAAAGAAATAAAGCTGTACCGAACATTCCTAGTGTCGCTGTTTTCCCTGGTGTTCAGCTAATAGACTCTTGTTTGAACCTTTGTTATCTTTTGGAGTAGACAAAAAGAACCCTCCATGGACTGTCTGACTATTTCGCTGGGTGTACGCAGAGTTCACCTTCTCCTGGTACAAAGCTCAAGAAAAACACTCTACAAGAAATGTAGGTCCAGCATGTTCCCTTTTTCTCACTTTCTGACTGCCTGTGTGGATAGTCTATAATTTAATGAGAGTGTGTGAAACCTAATCAGAAGGCCCCTTTGCCATTGGTGCGGCCCACAGCCATATATTAATACGTGTCCTTCCCACCTTCCTGTTGCTCTTGTTTTCTGGACAGTGGGAATGGACTCCTTGCTTCACAGGTGTGTGTGTTGCAAGGAGTGATTAATTACAAGCTCTTTGAAGATGAAAAGCACCTGCTGCCGGTGCGTTTCACACAGCTCTTGAGGTAACTGCAGACAGACCTAAAAACTACATTCCCTTTGTGAGAGCCTTTCTCTGACTTTGGTATAATTATGGCAGTCCTTGGGCCCTGACTACAACATATTTATGTTTTTTTTTCCACAGAGCTTAGCCAAAGTAAATAATCCAGCTTCAGTGCTTGAATTTAGTGGCTGAAAAAGTTTCTTGCTATTTGTAAATGTATTGTTGTCAACTCCTTGCCAAAATTAAGGACTTTAGTCTCTCGATTTCCTAAGCAGTTTCTGTCCTGCCATGGAAGTTTGTTTTAAAGTTTGTCTTGTCTATTGTGTATCCTGTAGAAAAGGGAGGTAGAGACTAGGTAGGTAGATAGATAAGATAGATAGATGGATAGATGGATAGATGGATAGATAGATAGATAGATAGATAGATAGATAGATAGATAGATAGATAGATAGATAGATGGATGGATAGAGACAGACAGACAGACAGACAGACAGGGTAGATGTACTGCTTGTCATGGTTGTACTTTTTTTAATGTTAGTTGTCTGAGTGCTTTCCAGGACTAAGTCCGATTAACTGAGGCTTATTCCCATATGTTTGATGAGTAAACCTGGCACCTACTGAGTCATGTCATTAGAGAATTTTCAGACTAGTATTTATTCACAAATATAAACAGTGTGTGCATATCTGTACATAACTGTGGGTGTGCACACACATCCTGTGTTTTGGATGTATCTAAGCATTCCCTCCTAGTAACAGTCAGTATATCTACCCCAGGGAGAATTTTCCTCTGACATCTGAAAATGCATACCTGTTTGGTTAAAGTGATTCCATTTTAAAATGATTCCATCACTGAACCAACACTGAAACCTTAGAACATATCCTAGTTTAGTGGAAAATGTGGAGGTTATTACTTAATCCAATCTGTATTCAACGTACACTTTGGGGATTTCCTAGATATGCTGAGGTGTTGAGGAGAAGCCAGCTGGCACGTGCCTTGTTCTCAGGTGTAACAGCCGGGGAGTGGGGGTTTGGAGGAATCCATGCCATTGCAAACCTCACATGACATACAATCTTAATTGTCTGTTTTAGTGTGAGAAGAACTGAAACAAAAAGCAGTGCCAAGAGCAAATCACAGACCAGCACGGACCTTGTGGGAAGATCTAGTGACTCGGTCATTACTGTGGTACCAAGGGTGAGGGATGCCTCAGCCGTTCTCCTGTCAGAATCCATGGGTCAAGCACTGGATGACATAAAAGCAGCCAAGAGCCACTGGGGACTTCCTGTTCAAAAGCTGGAAAATGTTTCCCAGACTCAGCCAGAAGACACTAGCAGCCAGGAACAACCTCATCCAGGGGAGTGGCTAAAGACGGGGCTTCTAAGCAGGAGCCCTAAGTGTAGCTATGAGTCAGCATCACCAGGTCCAAAGCAAAGTCCACGAGCAGCCAAGACACAACAGAAACGCAGGAACTGCGGCTCTGCGGAAGACTCTGACCACCGCAGGAGAGTTTCTCTTGGAAATGATGGGTCAGCCCCCGGAGACGTGGTGCTGGGAAAGAGCACAGCTGGCAGTGTTTTGCCAGCGTTAGAGTTGTCAGACCCAGGGTTGCTTTTGAATCAGGATTTGGCAAAAGCCACAGCTAAAGAAGAGCTGCATGCTTTGGAAAATCTCTCCAGACACCTTATGACCAACATCCCAGGGCAGGCACAGCAAGCCACCCCGGCTGCAGCTGACGAAAGATTAGCCACAGTTCAAGGCACCCCAAGCAAAAAAAGAAAGAAATTGCAAAGTTCTAGCAGAGGATGTAGTAGCAAGAAAACCTTGAATGTGTAGTTCCCAGGATTTGGAAAGAATTGGGGTAATCTCTCTAAATAAACAGATTTTAGAGGCTGAAGGACTGTCTCAGCTTTAGGAGCACTTACCGCACTTGCAGAGGACCTAGGTTGGCTTCCAAGCATCCACAAGGTGACTCACAAGCATCACGAACTCTAGATCCAGGAGACACAACACCCACTTTTGGCCCCCATGGGCACCGGGCATGCACATGGTATGTATACACACAAGCAGGCAAAACACACATACACATGAGATAAATCTTTTTTAAAAACTGTTTGTGTTGGGATTAGACTTCGCAGTCACCTCCTGGAGGCTGTTTTTCTAATAGGCGTGTTACTTTCTCATCGTGTTTATAACTGTCTCCAGAAAACACTGTTGACAAAGAGCCCTCTACCTGTCGAGGTATATAGGACCCCGTGGAGAAACCAGTAATGTGGGGTGTTCTCACCGCATCGCTATGAAGACCTCCTGATGGGATAAAGAGAGACGGTGCCCTGCGCTGCTGGCCAGGTCTCATGCTCCAGTCCTCTTGCTCCTCAAACTGAGTCCCTGGCAGTGAAAATAGGCTAGTGGTTCTCAGCGTTGTGGTTCTATGTGAAATGCACGTTTTAGAATCTGAGAGGAACTATGATTCTGAAATAACACTAAAGCTGATGATTCCCTAGAAATTATTTCCTCCAGCCTTGGTACCACAGCTTCCATCAACTGGGGCCACATGTACACCCCTATGCTCCCTTGGACTTGTGAAGTATTTAGATTGGGTTTGGTGTGTGAGTCACTTAATTCCCAGATTCTACTATAGGATGAGACAGCGCTTAGAGAGCTGGTTAGCTATAGTTGCCAGAAGTGTACAGGTAATTCATCTCAGCCTTAGGTGGAAAAGGTGTGTTCTGTGTGACGCAGGTCTGACCCTGTCGTTCACACATTCAGTATTCCAGCTACAGTAAGGACAGACCAGAACCCATTTCAGTTCCAAGTTGGAAAAATTCACAGGGCATTTACATATTCTCTTTGGATGTATAGCCTGCTCTCAAGAAAGACAAGAAACCTAAGTGTCAACCTGGAAATTCCATCTGATCATCCCAGCCTCAAAGGACCAGAAACCACTTGCTGTTGTTTCTTTCCTTCCCGCCTAGCTTTTTTTCTTGAGAGATAATTCCCAACCATTGAATCCTCAATGGAAGTCCGAGTATCCTCCGTTATGCACCAAGAAGCAGTTCACACAGAAAGATCCTAAAGTCAAAGCCAGTCCTATCAGAATGATGGACTCCAAAAGTAAGATATTCTGACCTGGAATAAACAGGGATTTACTTGTTTAATGGTTAAGGTCATACTCAGTCCTTAATTGTACTTAAATGAAGGATTTGCTTTCAAGAAATGTTTTGTTTTTCAAATCTGTTATTGTAGGAAATAATGATTATTGTGACTAGTGAGAAAAATAGTATGTTTGGTTTGTACATAGATGTGGTCTTTCTCACAGCCTTCATGCACAATGGATTTTAACAGGATTAGCAGGGAATGGCTCTGGGCTCCCACAAGTGGCATATGTTTAAGGAATTTTGCCTTTAAGCATTTTCCTTCAGTGTATCTGAAACACCTCTACATCTCTTGTTTCTTGAATGGTTTAAAAATTCTTTGAATATATGGACAAAGGGGGAAATTAGTCCCAAGTGTTTTGTTAATTATCAGGTGGTATGTTAAATATTTTCTACTGTTAGGAGTGGTAAGAGTTTTTATATTCTTAACTATTGTAATAACTTGGCATTTGAAATTCTGAGACCAACAGTATTGATAGTCAAAAACAAGTTCTTCAACCCCTTAGTACCCAAATTAAATTTATATTCAGGTCCCTGTAATTCTGGTACTTACAAGAGATATCCATCTAGTTCTCCTGATATTATTATAACTGAAGAACTTTCTCAGTACGTGGAATGCTAAGCCACCTCTATGTTCTTTCAAATGACATTTAATAAGTGAGAATTGGTTAGGTCTTTTTTTCTTTCTTTCTTTCTTCCTCTCCCTCCACCCCCATTTAAAATCCTGTGGGAGAGGCTGGGCCTGGTGCTGTCCTAGCACTGGGAGGTAAAAGCAGGCAGATATCGTGAGTTCACGACTAATTTGGCCTACATAGTAAGTTTCCGGATAGCCAGAGCTACATAGTGAGACCCTGTCTCAAAACAAACAGACAAAAAAGGGTATGAGAACAATCTGAGGTTTTTCTTGCACAATTGTTTTTTCTTTGCCACTGGAGGTAAACTCACCCAGATATGCATATGATACGTTAAGTGTAAAAGGTCACTTGGCCCTAGAACAGAGTAAGAACTACATAGTTTTGTTCCCTTATTGCATGCTAAAGAAATACGGAAATGCATTTCATTTCTTAAAAAGCAAGACTCATGGGCTGTTGGTGAAGAAGGTGCTTTGCATGTGCAGTTCTCTGGATTTGATCCCTAAGATATCAATAAGAAAGAAAACTTCTGTAGTTTGATTTCTGAAGAGTGTAGCTCATCTCTGGATGAACCTTCTCAAAGTGTATCTTGGAGATGATGCTGAGGTCTCAGTATAATTGTGATTTCAGCAGAGATCGTTCCTATCAGTGCCCTTTGGCTTCAGAAAGAGCCCCGATTGGGGCAGACCCATAGGGAAGGAACTATCTATGCCCAAGAGAATGGCCTAGGATCAGTGGCGGCATTCATGTTTCCTTAAGCTCCTTGGCAGACCTTACTGTAATATTTCCACAAAACGGTAGTGAATGGGCCTCTGGATAACAAGCAACTTTTCAAGAGCCAAAAAAACTCGCTGTGCAGCATGCTGGGACTGGAATATGGAAATTGTTTTAATTTCTTCTTTTCTCTTATGAGGAAATCACTGCATTTGGTTTGTCAAGACAAGAGAGTTCATTCCCCAGTATTGAAACAGTGATGAACTGAAACATGTTGGAGCAAGTTAAAAAAAAAATAAGTCAAAATTAAACTGGCTTCTCTTAAATAGCTTAAAGCCTTCCACAGTACAAAATAAATTAAGCATTGTAAAACGAAGTTAACTCAAGTAACCACTCAGTACAGAAATGTAGCCATATATATCATCAGTCTTGCTGTTCCGGGGTATAATTAAATTCTCAGAAATCTGCAGAATTCCCTCTAATTTGGTTTCTATATATATTTAACGAGACAGGGAGTGAATATATGTCAATATGTAGCATAACAGGGACCTTAGATGGATGAGATTTCCTTTATCGTCTGGACCCATTCGGGTAAATTCCATTGGCAGCAGAGAATTGCCATACTACATTAAGTGTTTCCATCACCATTCTTACCAGAGATTGGGAATTTCAGTTTACTGAAGCAGAAGTCGGTAAAACCACACATTTGACTCCCCAAAGCGTCTGATGGGTTCTAGTAGGTGATAATTTGACAGATTCTCAGAATGAGTTTCCGGGTAGAATTAGACATTGCCAAATCTCCAGGAGAACCCTGGTCCTCTCATTTAAGTAGCTTAAATAGTCTGAATGTCCAGCGAATAAAACCATTTCTGTATTGAAAATGTACCTTTTTATGAATAAATATGTGTGTATTGTGTTGTGTCATCCAGATTGCTTGTGTTTGTGTGATAAGCGGTGGGGGGCGTCTCACTATATCCCACAGTTCATGCTCACTACATAGCCCATACTGATCTCAAGTCTTGGTCCTGCCTTTGCTAGGAATGTGTGTGTGTGTGTGTGTGTGTGTGTGTGTGTGTGTGTGTGTGTGTGTG